ATTTCTCTTTTAAATTCAAGACTGTATTCTAGACTAAGCTGGAGGCAATCTTCTAATAATTAAATGAAGCACAATGTTTGGGGGACATTCCCAACATAGAAATCAAATTAACAGTAACTGTTCTACTTGTATGTATTGTCAGCTTCAAAAAACACATTAAAATAGAAACATATGACAAATATTTCTGAAATTCCTTTCTGTATCTGTCCCTTTTTCTGTTGTGGTTGTATACATAAAACATTGAAGACGTACAATTATACGCAGCAAATTGATTAAAAATTGTGTGACCCATTCAATGAAATTTCAAATGAAAATTTCTTAGATGCAGTTCAGTTTTTAAGAAATGTGTCCCCTTATTGGTTAAGTTAATAATCAATAAGTTTAAGTTTCACAATAGTTTCAAAGACTTTGAATTATTCAACAACATTGATTAGTTTCCCATTTAAAATAGGTTCAAAGTAAATAATGCGGATTTGCTGAGTCCACAGTCATTTGCCAATACTTCATTGACCACTCATTAAAAAGACATAACACTTTCCAACATTTGGAAATGTCTTTTCACAAAGCATATTTAGACATTAGTGTTTAAAGGAACACATCTACCTTTCATTGTTAATTTTTTTCAGAACTACAAAAACATAAACATATCATGAAAACGATCTGATATTGAAGGAAATTGAAAAAATATTAGAAAGCATTTTTAAAAAAAAACATGTTCGAAAATATTATAGTTCAATTCAAAATTAGAAAAATTATTATGTACTTTTACAAAAAATTTCTTCTGATTGAAAAAGTAAAAGCAGCTTTATCAAAACAAAGAAAATTCTTTTTCAGAAACAATTTGCACCACAAAAAAGACAATTGACAGAATGACAGATTCAAAGCTTTATCACATACTGAGGTTTATCAGATCTAGAGATACTGACAGGAATACCTATCAGATCTAGAGACCTTTACAAAAAGTTTCATCAGATTAACAAACATGGTAAGAGAAGGCTTATCAGATACAGAGACATTGAGAAAAAGCTTTATCAAATCTAAAGACCTTGACAGGAAGATTTATCAGATCAAAAGACTATGAAAGGAAGATTTACTAGACCTAGGGACACTGAGAAGATGCTTTCTCAGAACTAGAGACCTTTAGGGAATGCTTTATTCAATCTAGAGCCCTTGAAAGGAAGTTTTGTCTGATCTGAAGAAGCTTTATCTGATATAGAGACATTCAGAGGAAGCTTTATCTGATCTAGAGCCCTTGAAAGGAAGTTTTGTCTGATCTGAAGAAGCTTTATCTGATATAGAGACATTCAGAGGAAGCTTTATCTGATCTAGAGCCCTTGAAAGGAAGTTTTATCAAATCTAGAGCCCTTGAAAGGAAGTTTTGTCTGATTTGAAGAAACTTTATCTGATATAGAGACATTCAGAGGAAGCTTTATCTGATTTAGAGCCCTTGAGAGGAAGTTTTATCAAATCTAGAGCCCTTGAAAGGAAGTTTTGTCTGATCTGAAGAAGCTTTATCTGATATAGAGACATTCAGAGGAAGCTTTATCTGATCTAGAGCCCTTGAGAGGAAGTTTTATCAAATCTAGAGCCCTTGAAAGGAAGCTTTGTCTGATCTGAAAAAGCTTTATCCAATCTAGAGACTTTGAGAGGAAGTTTTGTCTGATCCAAAGAAGCTTTATCTGATCTAGAGCCATTGAGCGGAAGCTTTATCTTATCTAAAGTCCTTGAAAGGAAGCTTTGTCTGATCCAAAGAAGCTTTATCCAATCTAGAGACTTTGAGAGGAAGCTTTATCCAATCTAGAGACTTTGAGAGGAAGCTTTATCTGATCCAAAGAAGCTTTATCTGATCCAAAGAAGCTTTATCCAATCTAGTGACATTGAGAGGAAGCTTTATCCAATCTAGAGACTTTGAGAGGAAGCTTTATCTGATCCAAAGAAGCTTTATCTGATCTAGAGACATTGAGAGGAAGCTTTATCCAATCTAGAGCCATTGAGCGGAAGCTTTATCTTATCTAAAGTCCTTGAAAGGAAGCTTTGTCTGAATTGAAGAAGCTTTATCTGATCTAGTGACATTGAGAGGAAGCTTTATCCAATCTAGAGCCATTGAGCGGAAGCTTTATCTTATCTAAAGTCCTTGAAAGGAAGCTTTGTCTGAATTGAAGAAGCTTTATCTGATCTAGTGACATTGAGAGGAAGCTTTATCTGACCTAGTGACAGAGCGAGGAAGCTTTATCTGACCTAGTGACAGAGCGAGGAAGCTTTATCAGATCTACAGAGACCTTGACAGGAAGCTTTACCAGATCTAGAAACTATGAAACCTTTTTTCCAGTCATCAAATTCTGAACTAATGAAAGGAATTGAATCAGCCACATGATCCAAGTTACACAGAAACAACACTATATAATCAGTCCAGTGATCCCCAGAACCTATCATTGATTAGTACCGCCAATACTTCTCAAACAGGAAGCTTCTGATAAATCCAACACACCTGAGCTCCACTGACATTACAGTGGACATTCGGAGTACCAGTACAATGTTGTGTGTCTGGGTGTGGATGTATAGATATATTGACAAGTATGGCAACTTTTAGAAACTGTGTAAAAATGGTACGAGGGTATTTACAGACCAAACATCTGCATTATGATTTCATCATTACCCCTGTAATCCACATTCAGACCTGGTTACAGTACAGGCTGTTTAAGCTGATACACTGGATTCCATTCAGACCCGGTCACAGTACTGGCTGTCTATCCTGATACACTGGATTCCATTCAGACCCGGTCACAGTACTGCCCGTCTATCCTGATACACTGGATTCCATTCAGACCCGGTCACAGTACTGCCCGTCTATCCTGATACACTGGATTCCATTCAGACCTGGTCACAGTACTGGCCGTCTATGATCATACACTGTATTCCATTCAGACCTGGTCACAGTACTGCCCGTCTATGCTGATACACTGGATTCCATTCAGACCCGGTCACAGTACTGGCTGTCTATCCTGATACACTAGATTCCATCACAACCAAGATCTAAGCTCATGTCGTTAACATTGTAACATCCTATATTCTAAAATTTCACTATAATCCTCCTTTCCTCACTTCAATCCCCCACCCATCCCTACCCTCACCTGACCCAAAATTTCACATTTAATTTATATCAAATATAATTCTCCTGCGCCTCCATAGATATGGATAGGTTTAACAGCAAGGCATGGACATACTACTGAAGATATATATAGGACACTTTTTATCCTATACAAAAGACCTACGTGGAGATGTCTTTGGTTGGTTTAAAACTGTTCTCATCAATGGTAAAGATCATTGGGCCAATGAAAATAAGACATATATGTTTTTCTATACATATCCACAAAAAATGTGGAAACTCTTAGCATGTCCAGAAAATCTGTGGCAGACTACAAGCATGTCCAAAAAATCTGTAGTAGGCTCCTAGCCTGTCCACAAAATCTGTAGTAGGCTCCTAGCCTGTCCACAAAATCTGTAGTAGGCTCCTAGCCTGTCTACAAAATCTGTGGTAGACTCTTTACAATTTATTGTCATTGTCCACAAAATCTGTGGTAGACTCCTTGCAATTATTGCCATTGTCCACAAAATCTGTGGTAGACTCCTTGCAATTATTGCCATTGTCCACAAAATCTGTGGTAGACTCCTTGCAATTATTGTCATTGTCCACAAAATCTGTGGTAGACTCTATGTAATTTATTGTCATTGTCCACAAAATCTGTGGTAGACTCCATGTAATTTATTGTCATTGTCCACAAAATCTGTGGTAGACTCCATGTAATTTATTGTCATTGTCCATAAAATCTGTTGCAGGCTGTGGTAGATTCCAAGAAGAGTTAATTAGTACCAAATCTGGATGATATGACACAAGGAAAACCCTTGGCTATAGAGATGGCCAGTCTGAGGTTGGAGCAGGTTTGGCTTCGTGCCTTTAACTCCACACCAAAACAAAACTACGTGTTCACAGTCAAATGTCAGTCAGTTCCATAAGATTATGATTGAGCATGCAGTGTTACATTTGTCATCATTTTCATGCATTTCATAATTCAGGAAATTGTCTCTTTCTATTATATATCAGAACACAGCTGTATAAATGTGTGCCAATTAATGCCTGACACACATGATTCAAAAAAGGTGAACTCAAAAAACAGTTTGGAATCACTGAAGAAAATTTATTAGGCTTTAATTAAGTTTATATCTACATGTCTAATATTAAAAGCACAGGGTCATGTATATCTGTTAACTTATTATACATATAAGCCATCCTTTTCTTACATCAGTAGGTGTTATCTGTAGACCTTTTGATGCTGCTAGAAGTGTCTGTTTCAACACAATTAACTACAAACCTGTCCTGACCACTATTATCAAGCTACACAGTAACAGTGAAGGCACTCTCATACTGTTACATAATTTCATATCAATTTTATCAGCTTGAATACATTGCTTCACTTTTTTTATTTCAGAATATTTCTTGTCTAGTTCAGATACAAACACAGGTTCATGAATGAACATTGCTTTCAAAAAGTCACTAACAAACCATTTCAGCCCAGCTTCCACTAAATGATAAATATACTCTTTTCCATGTCAAACTTGAAATCCTTTTGGTTCTATAGCTTTGAGTGTGTGATGTCATTGCATTATCTGATTCGGATGTCACAATAGGTTACATGGGTTTGTAAACATACATACTACTGAACAAAACAGCAATTATGTGATAAATATAATATGTATATCATAAATGTTTGTGATATTATCTCCACTGTAAAGTCAACTACTGCTTCTAAAACATAGCCACCATGTGAGGGTGGATAAATGTTTGACAACAGCAGCAGCTCTGTCAAAGTCACAGAGAGTACATTTTAACTTTATATAAAACATTTCCCAGTGGCCCTTAATATATAGTCAGAATGGTTTTCTTAAATATGAGCATTGAATACAAAATAATTTAGATATAATTTAAGACTTTTTTTACTTACAAGAAAATTCCTGGGTTTCTTGAATATCACCAACTGATGCAGAATCTGTAATAAATGAAAAATAACATTTATTGTAAAAATACAACATGATCAAAACAAATAGCCAGTAGCTGCAGTTCTACAAACCTCAAAGTCCCTTCCCTATCTCCAAACTTTCAGTTCCCCTACATCCACTTCTCCAAGCTCCCCAGAGTCTACCTCCCTGCAGCTACCCTGAGACCCCCTTCTTAAGCTCCCCGGAGTCTACCATTCTTCAGCTCCCTGAGACCCTCATACTTCAGCTCCCTGAGATCCCCATACTTCAGCCCCCTGAGACCCCCATCCTTCAGCTCCCTGAGACCCAAATACTTCAGCTCCCTGAGACCCCCATCCTTTAGCTCCCTGAGACCCCCATGCTTCAGCCCCCTGAGACCCCCATACTTCAGCTCCCTGAGACCCAAATACTTCAGCTCCCTAAGACCCCCATCCTTTAGCTCCCTGAGACCCCCATACTTCAGCTCCCTGAGACCCCCATACTTCAGCTCCCTGAGACCCCCATTCTTCAGCTACCCCCAAGACCACCATCCTTCAGCTCCCAGAGACCCCCATTCTTCAGCTACCCCCAAGACCCCCATCCTTCAGCTCCCAGAGACCCCCATCCTTTAGCTCCCTGAGACTCCCATGCTTCAGCCCCCTGAGACCCCCATACTTCAGCTCCCTGAGACCCAAATACTTCAGCTCCCTGAGACCCCCATACTTCAGCTCCCTGAGACCCCCATACTTCAGCTCCCTGAGACCCCATCCTTCAGCTACCCCCAAGACCCCCATACTTCAGCTCCCTGAGACCCCCATACTTCAGCTCCCTGAGACCCCCATTCTTCAGCTCCCTGAGACCCCCATCCTTTAGCTCCCTGAGACCCCCATACTTCTGCTCCCTGAGACCCCAATACTTCAGCTCCCTGAGACCCCCATGCTTCAGCCCCCTGAGACCCCATCCTTCAGCTCCCTGAGACCCCCATCCTTTAGCTACTCCCCTACTTAGCTATCACATCACTAACGTCTTACTTGACCTAAGTCTACCTCACTATTATTACTCCAATAATTACTTCCTAACTCCGTCCACATGTAGACTTGAAATATCTTTGTATCTACAACTGATATTATTATACTTTCTTTTTGGAAAAGGTTGGTCCAAGCCAACTATAATAACAAAGAAACTGTATCACCCACACTTGTTCAGTAGTTACTCTATCAAAGCACACTGTACTTGAATATACTAGGAAGTCAAGGATCAAAGTATGTGAAAAAATGCCCTGACCACGATTTCCCTTGTGCAGTGACTAGAGCTCCAGCAGCATACAAAGTTGTAACTCCTAGACTATCAGAATTCAGAAACGATGTGTGACCTGGATTATTAGTCTCTTCCTACTTGTATCAAGGTGAATTTGATGCATACTGTAATTACACTTGAGAGCTCCTGTAGTAATAAATGGCCCTACTCATCAATTACTTTCAAATTTTAATATCTAATTATGCTGCCTTATCTGGTGAATTACACTAGCTTTAATTATGGCTGATTATGGGCAGCAATCCTTCTTGTCCCAAACACTCACTACTTTTATGCAGTAGTTTCATCCTTGCATGTTGAAAATAATTAGCCATCAAGTTTCACAATGTTTTATAAAGGTAATAACACCTGTGTACTCACTTACCTAAAAGTGTACTCGCTAACTGAGGAACATAGCTCACTGACATGAGTGTATGTACTGATCATAACCAGGCTGTAAGCGAGGACTGATATGATTTAGCTACCCACATTTATCCTCAGTAAGTTAGGGGTGTGTAGGTGTGGGGGTGTGAGGATATGGGGGATTGGGGGAGGGCAATACGGTCAAAATCTTTAAGGAAGTCAATGGCTTGCCATATCAGGAAAATATTAGATTTTCATTCTTCTTAAGCAAGATAACTGTGTAATGTACTTCAAATATGTTAGGCAGCTTAAACTGGTGAGAGAGGAATTATGACCTCCATGCATGTTAAGTAGTATGTAGAGGTGAGAGGGGAAGTAGTGATTTACATGTTAACCAGTATGTACATGTGATAAGGGAAGCTGTAACCTATATCATAACCAGTATGTACAGGTGAGAAGGGAAGCTGTGACCCATATGTTGACCTGTATGTACAGGTGAGAAGGAAGCTGTGACCTAAATGTTAACCTGTATGTATAGGTGAGAGGGGAAGTAGTGATTTACATGTTAACCTGTATGTACAGGAGAGACAGGAAGTTGTACCTTCTGTTAACCAGTACATACAGGTGAGAAGGGAAGCTGTGACCCATATCATAACCAGTATGTACAGGTGAGAAGGGAAGCTGTGACCCATATGTTGACCTGTATGTACAGGTGAGAAGGAAGCTGTGACCTAAATGTTAACCTGTATGTATAGGTGAGAGGGGAAGTAGTGATTTACATGTTAACCTGTATGTACAGGAGAGACAGGAAGTTGTACCTTCTGTTAACCAGTACATACAGGTGAGAAGGGAAGCTGTGACCCATATCATAACCAGTATGTACAGGTGAGAAGGGAAGCTGTAACCTATATCATAACCAGTATGTACAGGTGAGAAGGGAAGCTGTGACCCATATCATAACCAGTATGTACAGGTGAGAAGGGAAGCTGTAACCTATATCATAACCAGTATGTACAGGTGAAAAGGGAAGCTGTGACCCATATCATAACCAGTATGTACAGGTGAAAAGGGAAGCTGTGACCCATATCATAACCAGTATGTACAGGTGAAAAGGGAAGCTGTGACCCATATGTTGACCTGTATGTACAGGTGAGAGGGGAAGTAGTGACCTATATGTTATCCTGTATGTACAGGTGAGAGGGGTAGTAGTGATTTTCATGTTAACCTGTATGTACAGGTGAGAGGGGAAGTAGTGACCTATATGTTAACCTGTATGTACAGGTGAGAGGGGAAGTAGTAACCTATATGTTAACCTGTATGTACAGGTGAGAGGGGAAGTAGTGACCTATATGTTAACCTGTATGTACAGGTGAGAGGGGAAGTAGTAACCTATATGTTAACCTGTATGTACAGGTGAGAGGGGAAGTAGTGACCTATATGTTAACCTGTATGTACAGGTGAGAGGGGAAGTAGTGACCTATATGTTAACCTGTATGTACAGGTGAGAGGGGAAGTAGTGACCTTTATATTAACCTGTATGTACAGGTGAGAGGGGTAGTAGTGATTTACATGTTAACCTGTATGTACAGGTGAGAGTGGAAGTAGTGATTTACATGTTAGCCTGTATATACAGTTGAAAAGGAAAGTTGTACATTCTATTACCCTGTATGTAAAGGTGAAAGGGGAAATTATGACCTAGATGTTAACCAGTATGCACAGGTGAGAGGAAAACTCATGACCTATAAATTAACATTTGCAGCATCTCCTTTTCTAACACCAGAAGTAGGTTATGGCATCTAGCTATTACTACAAGCAGCATGTGCCAGCAATAGAGTGGCTGGAGTTGATAACGTGCATTTTATGTATTTTCATTTCCTCGGTCATAACCTCTATCCACAGCCACATCTTACCCTTTACTCTTCTGACTCCTCCCTGCTTTGCTCTGTCCTTTATCCTACCTGACCCTCCCCAGCCTGTCTGCCCTGCCCTCAATCCTACTCTGCCCTTTGCTCCATTGACACTCCCCACCTAGCTCTGCCCTTTACCCCACTGACTCCTACCCTTTCTGCTCTGTCCTTTTCCCCACTTGACTCCTTTCCAACCTGTTCTGCCTTTACCCTACCTCCCCCTCCCCAATAGACTCATTCCCACCTTGCTCTACCCATTTCTCCATTAATCCTCCCTACCCTGTTCTGCCCTTTACCCCTACCTGACTCTTTCCCATCCGCTCTACCCTTTTTTCTATTGACCCTCCTCACACTGCTCTGCCTTTTACCCTAACTGACCTGACCCTCCCCACCCTGCTCTGCCCTTTACACCACCTAACCTTCCTCACTCTGCTCTGCCCTATACATCACCCGACCCTCCCCACCCTGCTCTGCCCTTTACACCACCTGACCTTCCTCACTCTGCTCTGCCCTTTACATCATCCGACCCTCCCCATCCTGCTCTGCCCTTTACACCATCTGACCTTCCCCACTCTGCTCTGTCCTTTTCACCACCTGACCTTCCCCAATCTGCTCTGCCCTTTTCACCACCTGACCTTCCCCACCCTGTTCTGCCCTTTACACCTCCTGACCCAACCCTCCCTACCCTGCTCTGCCCTTTACAACCCGACCCTCCCCATCCTGCTCTGCCCTTTACACCACCTAACCCAACCCTCCCCACCCTGCTCTTCCCTTTACACCCTGACCCTCCCCACCTTGCTCTGCCCTTTACACCACCTGACCCAACCCTCCCCACCCTGCTCTGCCCTTTACACCACCTGTCCCCTCTACCTTAATAGAATAATGTAGAGTTTGATTTAGAGATGTCAGTGATAACTATGACTCCAGATGATTACACAGATGTTACAGATGAGAATTGGTTTCCCAGATCATTGTAGTTCATTATTTCTGACTGATTTTGTGATATTTTGTAGTAGATGACACCAGCTGTTTCAGACCTTAGTAAGTATGTGTTATACACATACTTTATGAATGTGACAAAGACCATATCTATTGTAATGATATGTTTACCATGTAGAGGAGGCAATTTGTTGGTGACGAGCTGTTATCAACAACCCCATCGATAATACCTAAACCTAATGAAATGTTGCTACAGTGTCCAAGTATCCCATCTTGTTTCCTATTGGTCACTTCCATAAGGACATTCCTCCTCTCCCCATCAACTCTGAGCTTAGAAATCTTATTTTCTAGTAGACTGGCAGCAAAACAAAACTCATCAAAATTTGACAGCATCCTTCAATTTTGTGTATTTACATTAAATGATATGAAATATTATTTTATCATCATTTGCGAATGCTCTTTCTTTTAGGTAAAATTTATAACTATTCTTTACTATTAAAGTGACATCATGGTGAAACAATTTTTTTTTCTCACAAATTTTTTTTATTACGTACGTACATATCAACTGTATCATTACCTTATCAAAAATTAGTTGTTTTTCACTGAAATATGTAAATAAAGCGATTAATCAATAATTATAAACATGAAATATTTATCTGTTCATCAACAGTCTGGATATGTAAATTTTTGTGTCATACATAATAATGCATGCACGTAAAACAAAGTTGCCTGTAAACAAAAGTGGCTTCCCACCTGAATTGGTTAGCGACTAAAGTTACTTATTTTGTAATTCTGAATTGACTTTGAGTTATAGAATGACATTTGCCACAGCCATAACAAAATCCAGCGCTGAAAAACAAGATTTTACTAACTGTCACTACTGTCATTTCTGCCTGACATCATGTGTTCAGGTTTATGAAATAAACTGCCTTGTTTTCCAAACTGTCGTGTGACATTATCAGCACTAAATTTCAGAGAGTTTTCCCAAACCAAAGAAGTGGTCAAGCTGGACATTGGAAATTTACTGTGAATATGGGGACAGCATAGATACATAACTGGAAGTGTATAAGTCACAATCAATAACAGAATTAATGTTTTACCGTCATGTCCCTTTAATTTATTTAACTGTTTACTCGTGTATCCTATTGGTCTCATACTTCCCCCTTTACTAAGACTGCATGTACCTATGTATTATATATGTCCATGAAAACATTGAGAAACGTTAATAGTGCGTCTAACATAACAAATGTTTGAACAAATCCATGAAATCTTATTTATTTCAGGGACATATATTAAACATCCCTGGTTTATCTGTGATTTGCATTTTTCAGGGGATGAAAATTTGAACTCAGCAATCAAATATGAAATTGTAACTACTTCATTCAAAGTTTAAGATTTTCAACACATTTAAATAGATTTTAGAAGAAAATTAGAAATGAATTTGATTTTCCATTCCGGAGATATATATTATCTATCATAATCCTGGACTGGGTTTTGGGACCCGGGCCAAGATCAGGTACAGTGTACATTAGTGATCAGCGAAATAAGAGAAAACATGGCGTTATTGAGGTAGAGAGCACCTTGATGTGTAATGTTAATGTTGAATTTCCACAAGCATGACATCAAAAGACATTCTGTAGGGACACAGTCATGGATACTGTATACCACCACAAATGTACATTTTCACCACAAGAGTACATTCTGCAATTTCGATTTCAGCATAGTTATTGAGCTACCCATTAGAGACGAGAGCATGTTTTTACCACACAGGAAAATGTCTACCTCACCATTTCTACCTATATTTTCAAATTTGTCAGGTCATAACTTGCTTTATGAATATCAAAAGACATAATTAAAAATAATATGGTCAGTTTTCCTTTTTACAGAGTTAAAACCCGTCATTATACTGATGCATATATATTGACCATGGGTTGGGAATGTGTGCAAGGTCCCTGTACATACTGTATACACAATGCAAGCACAAGATATTGTACAATACATCTATCGCTTAATATCCTTGACTTTTACTGGTATGAAGCACAAACAGGTGAAATCACACAGAAAGTATAACGTTATTCAGAAGTGAAAAGGACATCATAGTAAAAACATTAGGAAAAACATTGTGTGTGTTTTATACACTTTCAGCTACATTTCTATGTTTCCCTAATATTCAACGTCGATTTCAATGTCCAGTTTGACCACTCAATTTATCTGGAGAAAAAAGTGAAAAGGTATGGGGTCACATGGGTTTTCCCTGTGTACTCTGGTTTCCTCCCACAGTAAGACCCCACACACACTTCCATTGGGTCAAACAAGCGCATTTAACATAAGTTGGAAAGATTTCTTTTACAATTGATATAGAATAAATAAACTCAATGTATTCAGTTTCTGTGTATAACCTTTGCTTTTCTAACAGGTCACATACTGAATAGTTAGTTATAATCAACAGGGATTTACTTTGTCTATATTTGTGGTTAGGAAACATAACCCGCAATTAAATACCCAGGAAATATTTTAACTGTAAATCTCACAAAATATATGTATTGCCTGTATATATCAATACCACATAATAGACAAACGAAAAGTAAAATAACCATGCAGAAGTCCAAGGTGAACAATAGTTAAATACGAGCCCTTCAAAATTAAAAACTATACAGTATTGTGTTAATCATGTCATACAGGGCACTATCTGCATAAATAATTCAACTTTCTGGAATTCTGAATCTGGGTATATATATATATATATATATTCTCTCTTTAAAGTAAAATATTTGTATGGTATACACAATATGCTTCAGCTGGGAAGAGAAAACCTTACACACTTTTTTGGTATTATTGCCCTTCTTCAACAAGTTACCTGTAAGCTACCTATACAGAGCAATGTAATATCCTAAACAAGTATCAAACAAGGAACTGAAAGAAATAAACTTCCTGGAAAGGAGTATAAATGATGCTCCATGGCATTAATATTGACATTTATAAATAAGGTTGCTTGGGGCCAGAATTTACCTTTCAACATGACAAAGAGGACATTTGGGTGGTGACTTTTCTGATCTCTTATATAAAGCAATAAGGAAGTTCATGATATAAACTGTCATTTGGAATATTTTTAAAAAATCAGTCTACTGCATGGTTTGAGCATGGACCTAACTACAAGTGGCATCTAAATATCATGGCTAAAACTATCTTAATAGTTCTTTTTACCCTGATAATATGGCACATTTTAGAACTCTTATGAGAACAACACAATTTTCGAAGAACATATTTCACCATGTGCAGAAGCACAGTCTACCAAGACAGATGTAAACACATCAACTCGATAAAAACTGAAGCAAATGCATGACGCACTGAAAAATATCTAACCATGCCTATTAGTATGGTTAAGTTGACAATGTTGGTTTTAAAGATTGATCATTTTAGCTTTATGCCATACATAGCAGTGAGATTGTATTTGTGACTAGCTATTGCCTGTACAATGTAAAAAATTGAAAAAGATTGCAGCTCTCACATATATTTGTAATAAGCCAATTGGAGCTACACTTGCCGACCAGAATCGAATAGTGTAACAAATGTCTGTGTCAGATTGAAATTTATATTACCAAATAACATCATATTTACAGCTTACCATTTCGTTTTCTTCTAAACTCTTGGATTCAAGAATTATTACTATTACAAAGTCCCATCACTTTAACCACAAAACTGTCCATAATCTTATTGAAAATCTTTATTTTGTCAAATAAATAAAACATTTTTATTCAGTCATATTGCAGCATGCACACGGTCATACCAGACATGAAAAAATACAAGCGTCTCTGCTCGTAAATATCAGTCTGCTGTTTTTTGCATTTTGCCATTACATTGCAGCACAATTTCATTTGTGATAAGCAAAATTTATAATCAAACCTTTCATATTCACCCCACCCCCTCTCCACATTTCCCTCTGACAGGGACCCAGCTTCCTGATGACAGCTCTGGACCCTCCATCTTACCATATCTATATATATTTATAGGTATACAATAATTATACTTTAACATGGGCAATAGAAACATAGTTCTATGATTCTCACAGTTCCTTTCTGACCAGTCCAGTGTTTATGGCAACTGGTCAGAATTTTGAAGTCTGTGATAATAGTCCATTTTCAGCAGACCAATACATCACTCCAGCTGCTCTTTAGCTGTATATCTCCACCAAATAATGACCAGTTTCAGGTTACAAACACGATTCCATATTAATATGATAACATAATGAACAGAAGTGATGCCTCTGATAGGAGAATGAGTTAATTTTATATAATATTATAGCTATGTAGGGTATATACACATATACACTGTACCTAGGCACCCCAAAAAACATGTATATAGTAAGTCTGTTTATAGCGAGAACAAAGCCCCACCCTACATAAGAGTGAATTGACCAGCATCTTTTTCGTAACCACTGATTCGTTGCAGACTATTTGTTGTACAAACTGACGTGTCTCCCCTGAGCCATGTTCCCATTAACCCCGCGGTCCAATTACTTTCATCCTCCACGGAACACCTTAGCTTCCGTCTGTAGATCTAGACTAACCCACAAACCCCACACCGGTTTCTCTTGACACTGGACATGGCCGTGATCATTTAACACGTTACGTATGTCGCCTACCCATTACCAATCATTAAAGCTCGCTTTCGTGTTTAGCCTAACAGCTCTGACATCACAGCCAACATGTTGACCAAACCACAGCTTGGACACGGTCCGTGAACTACTATACAAACAAGCTCGAGGCACCAAACACGTTAGGATACAGCAGGCTTTAGGTTACCTCGTTACAGTAATAACACGACATTCCCCGTACGAGAGAATCAGCAGGCCAGATGTTTGCTGGCATACGACATCAGACTTACCCTGTCTTGTCCCGAAATCGAGGAAAAGCAGCAACAGAATTCACAGAAATGTCGTACGTTGAAATCCTGCAAAAACAGGAACACGTTTCGTTAACATAAATATATCCAGAAGATTTTTTCACTCTAATTTTCTCATCTCCGTGAGCTGGAGAGCGATACGTGTGTGCTCCAACCCCAGCTAGCTACGCCCACGCGCGTTAAAAGCGGCGAGTGTGTATGCGTGTGTGCTGGAATATTGATCTCCCGATCGGGGCCCCGTGTAGGGAAATCAAAGATCAACAACCGACGAATATGATCTTTTGATAGGGGCCATTCTGAGAGTACGTGTAGCAGTATAACAATACATTCAATTAATGTTATGTAATACGATACGGGCGTCGGACGCATGTGCAGTGTATTATATGTGAGGAGTGGGAGACTGGGCGCAGTTGTGGCGAGCTACAGGTCAATCTGATAACGTGCGGTCAGACCAGATGGTTCCTTGATCTGACCAGGGACTAAAATTTTAGACAGTAGTCCGAGCTATTATATTTGTGAGCCTAGTAAGGAATATTTTACTGAATTTGGTACATAGTTGCATAGTTTGATACAAAGTAAAATTTAATGCAACAATGTAGAAAATCTTAATCCCTCCACAAATTGCATGTAGATCGTAAAAGAGATAATTGGGCAACATGCTCGTTATAATTACTTAAATCATAGACGTACATAACACACGTCTCTGCTAGAACATACTTTCAGCACAACAGACTTGCAATCTGTCTCTGTTCCAAGAATTGTCATTTATCATTTCATTTTAGTAAGCAATGCATCAAAGCAATAAAAACGACATTCATGTATATCAAATGCTTGAAGTGAAAGGGGATAATTTTCATCATAATCTGTACGAGTGTTATTACAGAAATCAGACGTTTTGTCTGTGAAATATAACTGTTATACCACTAAAACAGCAGGTCCTGTTACTTTGATTAGTAGGATAATAGCTATATATACATTGTAGAACGTCCGGTTCCTGTGAGTATAATACAAGTATATCCACATCACCCTTTGGTATCACGGACTTTGATAGATGATGATGATGATGATGATGATGATGATGATGATAATTCTATGGTGTATCTATATGTATCGGAATATCAGACCAGTCGTTTTGAGTAAGTTAGTAGAGTTCGGTCGACTGTGGCTTGGGATTAATACTAATACTCCCACGCACTCCTAAATACAGCACATAAATTGTTCCCTGCACACTCAGGTTGTGGACGGTTGTCAGGAAGCAGTTGCCCATCTAGAACGTAAATCACTTACAACACCGGCCGGACAGGTACAATCACTTCTACAGGGAGATAGACAGATATGACATTGATTAGGGGTTTTATTAATACCTGTAAATTACAGATATAGAACCGGGAGTCGTTACACACACTCATTATGGCGAAATATGACAAGTTTTATCATCGATACGATGATTTCTTACCTCTGAAGTAATAATAGAGAAATGAAACGGTCAAACGAACTAGGCCAGCACATAAGGTGTATGTTTACTAGTACCTATATATAATAAGCATATTCGCTAAAGGTGTAACCTGTACTCTATACTGCTAATGTCTGATTTCGCTAAATATCTTGCAATTTGCTGAATAATAATTATATTGCAACATGGGAAGGGGGATGTGGGAGGGGTGATAGTTCGGAATCACTTTGCTGTATATGTAGATGTTGGTCACGTTACCTACCGCCCGAGTATCCTCCGGTTTCTACACCAGACGTTAGACATTTTGACGGAAGAAGACAGTGAGCCCTTTTAGATGAAAACATGGAATCCTCCGATACCATTTCGTTTCGCTATTCCCGCCCCCCCCCCTCCCCCCTCCCCCCCCCCCACCCAAATAAATTGGCGATGGCCGAACTATTACCTTACATAAGTTTATCTTTATCCATATAAAAGCATTCAAAGTCCCAGTGCAAAACTGATAATTATATTGAAGCATTTTTATCCAATATATTTCATAGTTTTGTATATTGAAATGTATATTAATATCAATCTCTTTTGTTGGCTCGAGGACGAAAGCGCAAGCGCGAAGGTCTTGTTTCGGGACGAAATCGACGGAGATGTGGCGGGAGAGGGGACTCGCGTTATTATTCATGTGACGCAAAACCCTTTTACGTCAGATCGCGATTGATGGTTTTGTTTTTTTTAAACCACCGAGGAAAACACGACATACAAGCTCAATACGGCTCCTATTACTGTCCTGTAGATTGACGATGTAGCAATGCGAAGCGAGGTCGCAAGAGAGCGATAACGATCTCGATCCCTCGCCGTTGCGTTCTCGCTCCCTCGCCGTCGCGTTCTCGCTCCCTCACTCCCTAGTCGTTGCGTTCTTGCTCCCTCGCCGTCGCGTTCTCGCTCCTTTACTCCCTCGCATTCGTGATGTCACTTCCTCGCATCGCGCTGTTGCTCCCTCGCTTTGGCGAAATAGGCCAAGGAGCGAGATTGCCGGTCCGTATTTTGTCTCGTTTGCGGGCGATTGTCTATCTGAAAACGCCAAATTATTAAGACCTCTGAAAGAGTCGGCATTCAAGCATTGCTTTATATAATTTACAATAGTATGATAGATATAAATTCTACATCGATAAAATGTTTTTTCTGCTACCTTGATTATGTGCCAAACCAATTAAATGTTGTAAAATTTTCACTTTGCAGCATATTTGCATTGACGTTGTTGACTCTCCTTTGGCGAAATATACACCGCGGGATCATGTGTTACTGGCAGCGTTGCGTTAGTTTGAAGAAGCATACAAGTCATACCTAAAACGCCAAATTATTAAGACCTCTGAAAGAGTCGGCATTCAAGCATTGCTTTATATAATTTACAATAGTATGATAAATTGATATAAATTCTACATCGATAAAATGTTTTTTCTGCTACCTTGATTATGTGCCAAACCAATTAAATGTTGTAAAATTTTCACTTTGCAGCATATTTGCATTGACGTTGTTGACTCTCCAGGAGTTCATCCCTTCATACACCGCGGGATCATGTGTTACTGGCAGCGTTGCGTTAGTTTGAAGAAAAGCATACAAGTCATACCTAAACCCGTACCAGGGTCAATCACCTCTATCTCGACAGATGCAGCGCTTCACCTGACTTTCATCATTCCAAGAAAAACAAACTCCGAAAAATTGAGGAAAGCACTGTTATACAGACACGACACATGGGAAGATTGAGCTGTGAGCTTCTAATCCAAAATGACGATGACTTTTGAGCCTAGAAATCCAACTGAGTTCTCTAACCGGTCCTCTCCCCAACTATCGATTAAGCGATGGAATGAAATCTAGATCATAAACTTCGTCAATTTCCTCAAATCAACTCGAGATTATCTCGCTCATTTACGTAAATTTTAAGACTCAACTCGAAAATATCTCACCCTTTACGTAAAAACTAGGATTCAAATAAGAATACCTCGCTCCTTTCCGGTAATAATAGAACTCAAATAAGAATACCTCGCTCCTTTCCGGTAATAATAGAACTCAAATGAGAATATCTCGTTCCTTTCCGTAAAAACTAGGACTCAAATGAGAATACCTCGTTCCTTTCCGTAAAAACTAGGACTCAAATGAGAATACCTCGCTCCTTTCCGTAAAAACTAGGACTCAAATGAGAATACCTCGCTCCTTTCCGTAAAAACTAGGACTCAAATGAGAATACCTCGTTCCTTTCCGTCAAGTCAGGATTCAAACTATCAAACCGAGGCATTTCATTTCGAATGTTAATTTCTACTATTTATGGAGGATATTCTGTTCCTAATACTGGATATATACAGGACATCGTAATGTGATGAGAAGGGAGGGAACTCCTACACATATATAGTGAAGACAGACAAATTGTACTTTGGGTTTTTATTCGAAATTGTATCTTTTTTAATGCAAAAATATGTCTTTTCCACCTGAAACGGACAATATATCGAATGTTCGCGATATCATTTCACCCTCGAAAGCAGCGGAAGAAATAACACCGCGATAATAAGAAGTTAGCAGTTAACATCTGTGTTGTGTACACTGAAGGACAATTACCTATAGGAAGATCACCACCATTGGTTATAAATCTATGTTCTAATATTGGCATTTCATATTTCGTCTTAGAATGTCACCTACCCATCCTTTCTAATATCATAACATTATGTGTACTCGACATGCGGACAACATTAATGTTTTTAAGTTTATATGTAATTATCAGACTTATCAAATTTAGTAAATTCTCTGCTTTAAAGATATTGAGATATTTGGATTTGGTTTTTGAATAATAAACTTGTATGTAAGCCCCAACTGAGAGTCAAGTCCTACTACAGACAGGATCGCCAGTTTTAGCTGGAGGAGAGGGTAATGACTTCGCCACTATAAATCCAACTGACCGTGTATGTTTTGGTAGACCGATTGTCGCCGCCTTCTCACCCATATACAGTTTTGATAGGTAGTTTCACGGAGACGGAAAATCGGCAAACAACCAACCAACTAACCGACCAATCCAACCGACCGACCGACCGACCGACCAACCATCCAATCCAACCAATCCAACCAACCGACCAACCGACCAACCAACCGACCGACCAACCAACCAATCCAACCGACCAACCAACCGACCAACCATCCAATCCAACCAATCCAACCAACCGACCAACCGACCGACCGACCAACCAACCGACCATCCGACCGACCAACCAACCAATCCAACCGACCAACCAACCAACCATTTCAACCAACCGACCGACCAACCAACCGACCGACCAACCGACCGACCAACCAACCAATCCAACCGACCAACCAATCCGACCAACCGACCGACCGACCAACCAACCGACCGACCAACCAATTCAACCGACCAACCGACCGACCGACCAACCAACCGACCGACCAACCAATCCAACCGACCAACCAACCAATCCAACCGACCAACCGACCAACCGACCAACCGACCGACCGACCAACCAACCAATCCAACCGACCAACCGACCAACCGACCGACCGACCAACCAACCGACCGACCAACCAATCCAACCGACCGACCGACCAACCAACCGACCGACCAACCAATCCAACCGACCAACCAACCAATCCAACCGACCAACCGACCGACCGACCAACCAACCA